GGGGGAAGACCAGACGTGTGCGGTGAAGGGTTGGAGGATACGCAGTGGGTGTGGAGGGATATGTTGGAGTACGTGGGAGAGAGGAGGTGGACGGGGGGGGGGGGCAGTGTAGACTAGAAGGCATACGACAGTTTGGAGCACGGGTTTTTGTTTGAGGTGTTGGGGCGGATAGGGTTTCCCGGGAAATTTGTGGGGTGGGTGAGAGCCCTGTATAGCGGGGCACGGAGCAGAATCTTGGTGAAGGGGTGTTTGGGAGAGGAATTCAGGGTGGAGAGAGGGGTGCGCCAGGGGTGCCCCCTTTCTCCAGGGCTGTTTGTGTGCGGCATAGAGCCGTTGGCACAAAGGATGAGGAGGGATGGGAGGGTGAGAGGAATTCTGGTGCCGGGGGGGAGGGGATTTGAGGGTTACATTATATATGGATGACGTGATGTTTATGGTGTGGGATGAGGGGTCTCTGAGGAGGGTGGTGGAGGGAATTAAGGAATATGAGGAGGCAGCGGGGCCACGGGTGAACAAGGGGAAAAGTAGTTTGTTGGCATTGGGGGAGTGGAATGGAGTGGAGGAGGTGGGGTGGCGGGTGGAGAGGGAGGGTTTGAAGGTGCTGGGAGTTTACATGGATGTGAGGGGGAACGCGCGTGGGAGGAGGTTCGAGGGAGGGTGAGGAAAGTGGTAGGGATACGGGGAACGAGGAAGCTGTCATTCAGGGGGAAGGTGGGGATTATGAAGCAGTTTTTGTTGCCGATATTTTTGTTTGTGGCAATGGTGTACCCGCCCACCTGGTTGCAGGTGAGACGGGTGCAAAGGGAACTGCGTCTATTTTTTTGGGGTGGGAAGACGGAGAGGGTGGCGAGGAGGGAGGTATATAAGAGGGAGGACTTGGGAGGCTGGGGCGTGCCGGAATTAGAGGTTTTTCTGTATGTGCACTTTTGGAAAGGGGTGGTGAGAGTTGCAGGCCTGGAGGAGAGGAAAGTGGGGGCAATGTGTAGATATTGGGCGGGAAGGTATTTGAGGAGGTTGGGGTTATATGGGGGGAGGTGGATGGGGTTGTGGGCCGAGAGACCGGCCAAGTGGTTTGCGCGGGGGTGGGGCTTCTTGAGGGCGAAGGGGCTGGAGGGTTTAGGGTGCGAGGGACTGAGGGAAGCAAAGCGGGTGCTGAGGGAAATCAGAGGAAGGGATGAGATGGCAGATATAGGGGAGTTGTCGGAAGGGCAGGTGGGAAGGGTCTGTGGGAAGGGTCTGGAAGGGGATAGTGGGGAAAAGATGGAAGGGGGAGCAAGAGGATTTTGCATGGCGGGTGGTTAGGAGGGTGTTACCGGTGAGGGCGGAGCAGAGGAAATGGGGGTTGGTAAGGTCAGGGGAGTGTCCGAGGGAACTATGTGGCAGGGAGGAAACGGTGTTCCACGTGTTGTGGGAATGTTCGTATGCGCAGAAGGTTTGGCAGAGGGTGGCAGGGTTTTGTAAAGCAATAGGGTTGGGGGGATTGTGTGAGTTACGAGGGAGCGGTGTATGGTTTGGCGAGGCATAAAGCGAGGGAATGGGAGATTCGGGCATTACTGTTGTGTACACGGATGGCGGTGTGGAAAACGAGGTGTTTATTGGTTCAGAAGGGGCTTTGTTTTACGTCACGGGAATGTGTTTATTTGGCATACGCGGAGTTGGGGTACTATAGGAGGAAGGGAATGGGTGTGGGAAGGTATTGATTGGAGGAAGCTGTTTGAGTAGGAAGGAAGGGAGGGGAAGGGGAAAGTTGAAGAGAAACAAATGTTATGTGTTGATAAACAAGACGGAGCTGAAACATTTTGAGCTGATTATGTAAAATGGGGAGAAGCGTTTCTTTGGTTGTACGGGAAAGTTTGTTATGTTATGAGGTGAATGTTGTTATTTGGAGTTTTGAACCGAGAAAGCGGGTGTTTTGTTGGTTGTGGTGAAAGTGTCATGGTTTTAATACTTTGTAATAAAAAAAAAAAAAAAAAAGAACCCACCAATGGCCTGACTGATCACACCAGTGCCCTGTGAAGGGGATGTAGGCATGATCTCCATCCTGGCTGCTCCAGATGTCCGAAGTGAAGATGTCCATGATGTTTACAAGTCCAGGGGGTCAGATTTGATGCACCTAAGAGAGCCGAGGGAGTCGCCCGATATGACTGCATGGGTGATACATCCCTATCTTTGACTTTCCCACTGTCAAGTAGTAAGAACATACTGTGCAGTGTTATTAAACATGTTAATAAATATTTTTTGGAGCAGTGTTTCATAACATGGGCTCCTTCAGCTTTTTTCATTGCGTCTTTCAGAACTGAGGTCATGTCCCAACAGCTGTTTGTGGAGGTGATGCAGGTGCAGACAATGCTCCCACCTCCTTGCTGCCACTAGCAGCAAAAGCCTCATGCCTGGTAGAAAAGAGAGTGCGTCTAAGTTTGGGGGTGGGGGAGGAGTTACAGCTCTCCCTCTGCCACCTCTTGTTCTCCTGCCAGAAGACCTGGCACCTGCCTTTCCAGCACACTTCATGTTTGGTGTGCTAGAAATTGAGTATATAATTTATGTGTTGTGCTTTCCTGCACAATGATAAATGACAGACTGCCAGGGAAAGCACAGCTTTCTTTTTGTTTGTGGGGAAAGAAAAATATGAACAAATAAGAGGATTTTTGGGGAAGAATTAATTGAAAGGGATAACAATAGGGATGGTAGGCAAGGGTAAGTCGGAAAGGATTGGCTACATCGTGGTAACAAGAGACTACCAGTACCTACTGGTACCAAGCAAGCCTAGACCTTTCAGGTGCTGTGTGCTCTGCTGCTCAGGCTGCAATAGACACACAGCTGACAGAAAAGGCAGAGACAGAGCCTTGTATGTTGTTTCTCTGTCTCTCCCCCAGAGCACTGTGATTAGGAGGGAACTCGGGGAAAGATTGTAGTCACTGGCCAGCTACAGATGTCAATATCAAAGCAGTCCTTCTCTCCCTCTTTCCCCTCCCTCTTAGTTTCCATTTCCCTA